AATACAGGAGGTCATAGAATGCAGTGTTGTATAGAGTGTGGTAAGGAATCTATATTTTATCTATATGCAAAGGGTCATATAATCCAAAGCATGGTTTGTTTTGGTGGGGATATCTAATCTGGCATATTATTTCAGATATTTTTGGAAGAAAATTGTAGAGACTATAGGCCCAGTGATATGGGTTATTGGGTTTTCAGTTAGATAATTGCATATTGAGAAAAAGAAAATAGTGAGTATTAGCACAATAGGAAAAACAGCACAATGTTCAGCAAGTTTACATTACAACATAAACCATTAGCTTGGCTATTTTTCTGTTTTGTATTCTTGTTTTTGTCCAGATAATGCATTTGTAGTATTATTCTTATATGGATGATAATGTAAGTTTCTGAATATTTGGGAGGATGACAGAAGGAATAATCATGTTCATTTTTTAAGCTTTCTAAATTCCTAGAAACATAAGACATTTAAATATTTTGAAATGAGTTTTACATAGGTTCGTTGGAGAAATAAAAAAAAAAAAACGTTCACTTATTTGACCCCTTTCTTACTCATGTTATAAAGTTTCCATATTAAAAATGTTAACACCTCTTAGGCAGTTATCTCTAAACACATTATTAAAAATATTAAAAAATTATCTAATATATATATTTTTACATTCTCCTCCATTAATCTTAACAGTAAAATGACTTCATATTTATGCTCATTTCTCATTTTATAAAAATACCGTAGCAAACAAAATTTACCTAAGTTTCTATTTTAACCTCTAATGGCCTAGCTTATTTGAATGATTGTTACATCTCAAAGAAACAATTATCTAAAACTTTGAAACATTAAGTATTTAGTTAATTGTAATATCAATAGCTACCATTTTATTGAATGCCTACAATGTAGCAAACACTATGCTAAGCATACTTTGCATATATGCTCTCATTTATCCTCACCATCAGTTCACAGACAGAGCAGTGAGATAAGAAGAGCTTTCGAGCTAAAATGCACGTTCATTTTAACCTAACCCTATGTTCTTTATCATTATATTGGATTTTGTGTTTGATTTTTCTCTTTCTTTCACAGTCCTTATTGTATTCTTTACTTGCATCTGACAGTTTACTGATATCCAGTAGAGATCAGAGAACCTGTGGGAAACACTGGATTTTAAGGACTTTCTAATTAAATGATTGCATGATTATGTAGACTGTGAAGGAGAAAAATAAAGAAAATATGCAAAGAGTTAAAGTTTTCCAACATATATTTAGCTTTACAATTTTAAAGACTTTCTCATTAAACAGTGGCAGAGGTTTTGACTAAAATGGTAATTGTTTATTTCTTCATCTCTGTAATAGCAGTTTCTTGGCTAGATAGATCATTTAGGTAGCTCACATCTGTTCACTTTTTGAAACTCTGGAAATTTCCCTAGAGTGATTTACAAATTTTGTGGAACATTCTGTTAAGAGTGGGAAATATGTTAGGAAAAAAAAAAAAAAAAAAAAAAAAGGCTATTGGAAAATCAAAGTTCTTTCAGATTCCAAATGTTGACTAAGAAGAAGGAAGTAGCAGTTTCCTCTGGCTTCTAACTTGAGAGTGCTTGCAGCTTACAGGAGAGTTCAGTAAATTAGAATTATACCCTCTGTAAAAATACAAATTAAATATGGATTAAAACCTTGGAAACATTCAAGTTCGTAATTGACTCGACCAATGTTATCTCACAATGCATGAAAAACAGCAAATCATTAGTATCATTGACAAAAAGGGGTCATTTTGGCTACAATTAGGATTTGTCTAAAACTTATTAGGATAAATTGTAAATTGAAATAAAAGATTTTGGTGTTAGAAAAACCTAGTTCTAGTTAATCATTCTTAACTAAATTTGGCTAGCTCTTCTAAAAATAATTAAAGAAGAAAAACACTTTCAGAATTATTTCAAAACTTTTCATGAGCTTGAAATGCTTTGAATAGTTAGTGTAAGTCAGAACCACATGTATTATTTTTTCCAGAATGTATATAAACTTGGAAAGGAAAAAAAAGTTAATGATTTCAGAAAATGTTTTGCTGGTAAACAAAACTCAAATGTTAAGACATTCAAAATCTCCCAAAGAGTGGGGCTCCCTGTAAAATAGTAAGCAAAAAGATTCTCATAAAATCTTTGATGTTTGGAAATTAATCAGGCACTGAAAGAAGAAATCACAGGTGTAATCAGTTTGGAGATGGCAAGCTGCATTAACAGAGGTTAGTTTTGAAGGAATATAGAAGCTGCTGTAAATGAACACTTTATATTAGAAGGGATGTGGATATAACCAACATTAATTATAACCAATGTTGATTTTTGTTTCTCCATCACAAAACATCTCTATATTTTTATTTATTTTTTAAAATTTTATCTACATACAATGTATTTGATTTTTGTGTCCCTTTATCGATTCCTCCTTCCCCCCCCTCCCTCCCTCAACATCATATCTGTTCACTTGTCTTAATGAGATCAAGGAATTGTGATCGTTGTGTTTTCTTCCCTACCCCCCATTTGTTTGCGTATTTATTTATTTTTAGCTCCCACAAATAAGTGAGAACATGTGGCATTTCTCTTTCTGTGCCTGACTTATTTCACTTTATGTAATTTTTTCTAAGTCCATCCAGTTGCTGTGAATGGTAGTATTTCATTCTTTTTTAGAGCAGAGTAGTATTCCATTGTGTAGATAAACCACATTTTCTGTATCCACTCATTTGATGATGGACATTTGGGATGGTTCCAACTCTTGGCTATTGTAAATAGTGCTGCAATAAACACTGGAGTACAGGTATCCCTTCAGCATGATGATTTCCATTCCTCTGGGGGTATTCCCAGCAGTGGAATAGCTGGGTCATATGGTACATCTATCTGTAATTGTTTGAGGAACCTCCAAACTATTTTCCATAAAGGCTGCACCATTTTACAGTCCCACCAACAGTGTAGGAGGGAATACATTGCAGAGTAGTGTAGCCCTGCCAGCATTTATCATTCTCAGTCTTTTGGATATTAGCCATCCTAACTGGAGTGAGATGGTATCTCAAAGTGGTTTTGATTTGCATTTCCCGAATGCTGAGTGATGTTGAGCATTTTTTCATGTGTCTGTTGGCCATTCATATATCTTCCTTTGAGAAATGCCTATTTAGCTCCTTTGCCCATTTATTAATTGGGTTACTTGGATTTTTGCTGTAAAGTTGTTTGAGTTTCTTGTATATTCTGGATATTAATCCTTTGTCAGATGTATATTTGGCAAATATTTACTCCCACTCTGTTGGTTGTCTTTTCACTCTGTTGATTGTTTCTTTTGCAGTGCAGAAGCTTTTTTGTTTGATATAATCCCATTTACTTATTTTTCCTCATCACAGGGACGTAAAGTTTGTTCAACATACACAAATCAAAAAATGTGATACGCCACATCAGTAAATCAAACACAAAGACCATATGATCATGTCTATAGATGCTGAAAAAGCATTTGACAAAACTCAACATTTATTCATGATAAAGACTCTCCACAAGTTAGGTATAGACAGAAAGTATCTCAACATAATTGAAGCCATATGTGATAAGCCCACTGCTAGTATCATCTTGAATGGGGAAAAGCTGAAAGCTTTTCCTTTAAGAACAGGAACTAGACAAGGATGCCCATTCTCACCACTCCTATTCAACATGGTGTTGGAAGTACTAGACAGAGCAATCAGAGAAGAGAAGGAAATAAAGGCATCCAGATTGGGAAAGATGAAGTCAAACTGTCCCTGTCTTGCAGATGACATGATCCTATGTATCAAACAGCCTAAAAGCCTCTCCAAAAATCTCTTAGAGTTGATAAATGATTTCAGTAAAGTTGCAAGGAGCAAAAGAAACACACGCAAAACAGTAGCATTTCTATACTCCAACAGTGAACATGAAGAAAAAGAAATCAAGAAAGCTAGCCCATTTACAATAGCCACCAAAAAAATAAAATACTTAGGAATAAAGTTAACCAAGGATGTGAAAAACCTCTACAATGAGAACTACAAATCACTGTTGAAAGAAATTAAATTGGACACAAAATGGAACGATATCCCATGCTCTTGGATTGGAAGTATTAACATTGTGAAAATGTCCATACTACCCTAAGTGATCTACAAATTCAATAAATTCCCTGTCAAAATTCCAAAGACATTTTTCTCTGAAATGGAAAAAACTATCGTAACATTTATATGTAGTAAAAAAGACCATGAATAGTCAAAGCAATTCTGAGGAAAAGAAATAAAGCTGGAGGCATAACATTACCTGAATTTAAACTGTACTACAAAGCTATAATAACCAAACAGCATGGTACTGGCATAAAAACAGATACATGGATCAATGGAATAAAATAGAAAATCCAGAAATCAACCCTTACCCCTACCTACAGCCATCTGATCTTTGACAAAGATACCAAGTCTATGAACTGGGGAAGAGACTGCCTCTTCAGCAAATGATGCTGGGAAAATTGGATATCCATATGCAGGAAAATGAAACTAGACCCATACTTCTCGCCATATACCAAAATAAATTCAAAATGGATTAAAGAATTAAATATACACCCCGAAACAATAAAACTCCTTAAAGAAAACATAGGCAAAACACTCCAGGAGGTAGGATTGGGTAAAGAGTTCATGAATACCACCCCCAAAGCACAGGCAACCAAAGGAAAAATACACATTTTTTTTGACTTACTATATGTTGATATTAAATACTTTTAGACAGGGAGCATTCTCTTAAAATCTTAAAATGCCAAAACTAGAAACACTTTTATATGTAAGTAGTCTTGTCCAAAACACTCATTCTAAATATGAGTAAAGGTGCAGCCTGAGAAATTAGATATTGAATACATTCATCCACCAAGTTAGTGTCAGTATTGGTACAGGAAACAATTATCTGTTAGTTTACACTCCAGAACATTTTCCCCAAAGCCTCTGGTGGAAAAGGAAAGCCTTAAACACTTATATTTATTTTAATTTTATTTTTTTCAGCAAAGGACTACATACACATAAGAAAAAAGTCAATACGAAAGGGCTTCTAACAAGTAAACAGCTGTTCTTCATCTCTCAGACCTCTACATCCAATTCTCTTGTGGCTTCCTTCGACTTTTGTCATTAAAAGGTACAGTTCCTTGCTATTTCTACTTCTCTGTATGTGAATAATTCTTCCACATTCTCCCCTGTCCTTTTAGGAATTTTCTCTTCCTTGCTAGTATTTGAAATTTCATGTGCGGTGGATGGGGAGGAGGGTGCTGAGTGGGTTTTATTTTGTAGGGTAAAATATAACATTTCAGTAAAGAAAACCTGTGCCCTTTTGTTTTATAAAATCTCCCTCCCCTTTATTTTTTATTTTTCTCTTTTGTTTGTAATTTACACAAAATAATTGCACATATTTATGAAGTACAATGTGATGTTTTGATACATACATACATTGTGTAAAAACCAAATCAGGGTATTTAGCATATTCATCACCTCATACATTATCCTTTCTTTGTGGTGAAAACAATCAAATCTTTTCTTCTATTTTGAAATATTCAATATTATTAACTATAGTCACACTTCTGCACAATAGAACGCAGGAACTTATTGCTCCTATCTATGATTCATTGACCAATCTCTCCCTACCTCACCCTTAATAGCCTCTGATAACCACTATTCTCTGTATTTCTATGAGATCAACTTCTTTAGATTCCATATATGAATGAGATCAATTAGAATGGCTATTATCAGAAAGACAAAAAATAAAATGCTGGTTTGCTTGTCGAAAAAGGGAAAGAACACTCTTATACACTGTTGGTGGGAATGAAAATTAGTACAGCCATTATGAAAAACAGTATGGAGGTTCCTCAAAAAATTAAAAATCGAACTACAATACGATCCAGTAATCCCACCACTGGGTATATATGCAAAGAAAATGAAATCAGTAGGGTGAAGAGACATCTGCACTCCCGTGTTTGTTGCAGCACTGTTCACAATAGCCAAGATATGGAATCAACCTAGGTGTCCATCAATGGACGAATGGATAAAGACAATGTGGAATACATACACAATGAAATACTTTTCAACCATAAAAAATGAATAAAATACTGTCATTTGTGGCAACATGGATAAACCTGGAGTACATTGTTAATAATAAAATAGGCACAGAAAGACATATCTCCCCTCTATTTTATCTCTTCTATTTTTCTTGACCTTCTGTCACTTCCTGGTTGGGCTTTTGAATTGATTGCCAAATTTTTTTTTCTCTTTTATCCTATTTTCCATCTCTATGGCTTTTTCTTTCTGTAGCTTAGAAATTTTGTGACGTTATTTATTAATTTTTTTTTCAAATTTTTTATTGTATTTGATTTACCAAGTCTTTTTTTTTTTTTTTTTTAACTATCTAGGGTTATTCTCTTATTTCTCTATGAATACTAATTATATAGGTTACAATATATATTTTTAATTAGGTTTTTTATGTCACATAATAACATATTTGAATATTTTTCTGTGGAATTTTCTCTAAAAGATTTTAAATCATGTTTTTGTGGAATTTACTGTTAGGTGTATTGGAGTTTTCGTTCTATTGTGGCTATTACATATTTTTTATTTTTCCACTTAGTGTACAGAAATGCTATTGATTTCATATGTTGAATTTGAATATAACAATCTCGATGAACTTCAATATTATTTCTAATTGTTTTCTTTTAGGTTCTCTTAAATTTTTAATTATGACAAGCATATTATGTGATAACTATGATATACTGTAACATGTATACCTAATTTCTGTTTTTGCTTTTTGCATTGGCTATAAAATTAAGAGTGTTTGTATATGTTAAATAGAAAAGGTGCCGTTTCTGACCTTGAGGATGTTTTTAAACATTCTATCATTAACATGTTATTACGTTTATGGTAGATATCTGTGATCAGATTATTAGGTCTCTAGTTTGCTAAAAGTTTTAATCATGGAAATAGTGTTAGATTTTATCAAATGTTTTTCTTTATTGAGAATGATAAAATTTAAGAAAACAGGATCAATAACTGAGTTATATTGAAATCTGAGGCAAAAAGAAAAACTGATAATACTGATGATTCATTAAGAAATATAAAGGTAGTTCAAATTCAATCATCATTTAATATAATAAAAATATTAACATCAAAAGTAAGCTAAATTATCATTCTCAATAGATAGAGATAGAAATATTTTATTCTTCATGAGTTATTGCTGTAATCTTGAATTTTTTAAAAATACTAGATTGCAGTATTATTTATCTTGGTTACTGAAAATTTTTATGCTCCCTCAGATTTTGGGCCTGAGGCAATAAGCTCACTTGCTGTCTCTAGTCCCAGACCCACTAGCCAGATCACAGTTTCACATAGTGTTCACACAAACCACACAATCTGTTAGTGGACTTGTGAATCAAACCTGGTCAATCAGAAATTAATGTGTCTCTAAAAACGGTGTTTGGATCAAAGATGGCCATAAGACATTTGGGTCAATGAGCATGAAGCCAAGACTTTGATTCAATTCTTTGAGGTAAGAAAATCCAAACTCTGTGGGCCTTAAATCCTGGTTATCTTGAAATCCTATGAAGTTAGAATATAAAGGCAAAAAATATTGGGGAGCAGATTCAAGAGGCAAAGATAGACTGAGTTTTCGTGACATATTATGAGGCCCTAAATCCATCCATACTAAGGTGAGATACTTTCTGGTCTTTTCCACTTTGTGATAAATATATCCCTGTTTTGTTTCAAACTCATTGGGTTATGATTTTTATAATCTGTGAGCAAACTGATACAGAGGTCATGTTTATTGTCCTAATGCTCTATATTATTTATTGTATTATATGGTTAAAATGCATCTACCCCCCCCCCCCCCCCCCCCGAGAAATGAATTACCTTGCATGCTTGAATGTGCTCCGAGTGCTGAGTAATTCTAACCAAGACGCCAATTACATAGAGTCGCTCAGAGACTGGGTCTGAGAAACTAAAACCAAAGTCTTTGGTTCTACGTAGAAGAATGCAGGAAAGGCAATTGTGTGTCCAAACTAAAGTCTTTGAGAAAGAACTGAAAGTCAAAAGTTGGAAAAACTACATACAAATGCCAATTTCATAAAAACAAGATAAGAACAAGAGCAGTTGATGAACAATCAACAACCCCCTAAATAGCTTGGTAGTTTAATGTCATTTTCTTTCTTCTTGTGGTATGCAGATGGACTGGGCTAACTACAGTAGTCAGGCTTGGAAGCCATTTATATTGTGTGTAGTGATATATATTTAAATATACATATGTCTATATTTATACAATTATACATGAAATTACTGCTGCATATGTAGCAGAGTAACATAGAATATATGGATTATGGCATAGTGTATAATTTGTTTGACAAATAAGAGATCATAATATATGGTTGTGCACTTGTAATTAAGGAAGTATAAGCAGAATGAAGCTGAGAAAACAATTTTTTTCTTTTTTAGTCTTACGATTCTGTATCTTTGAGACAACTAAAGAGCACTAAATTATTATGTACTAAAAACTTCATGAGTACAACAGTCAGACTTTATTATTCAGAGTAACATAGTAACATCTTTTACTTTTTTTTTGACAGCTGGCCAATACAGGAATCCAACCCTGGAGCTTGATGTTATCAGCGCCACACTCTGACCAGCCCAGCTAACTGGCCAGCCTCTCAGAATAAGATATTGTATGTCTTACAGTTAAAAACTGAAATCATTTGAGCAGTTTTCAGCATGACCTGTTAATTTTGAATGTAGGGAATATACAAAGTAGGTAAATACATGTACTCATAAATGCTGTATAATGTAACTCTATATAAAATTCACAGTTAGATGCATTTGATGATGCAAAACAAAAAAAGTACTTTTAGAGGGCTTCTTATTTAAAAACACAGTAAAAGTAATATTCACATGCATTAAACATTGCAAACCATCTCAGTGTGTCTTTCCTTATTAAGTAATGAACCAATGGTTATTTTTGGAGAAAACAATTAGTTAACTCATCAATGTGCTGTTTATATCTCCTTGGCAGCAACTTGCCACTTGACCAAAGGAGACTTTGCCACTTATTTAAAGCTATTGGTATCCATGAATTAATGATGACACAGCATATTTCACAAGGGCTTTTGATTTCCACAAGTCTCAAATTCCACAGCAAAAACCCAATTTAAGATGATAATTTATGTACTGAATATTTGAAGTCAAGATATAAAATTTCCCTTAAGCTGAACAAGTTGACACTATTTTGTAATGATATAATGTTTTGTGCCACAGGTTGAAAATGGCTTGTAATTGTATGTTAGAACTTTTCATATTGTATCTTGAAACATGGTGATTCTGTAGCTGATATCAGCCGGACCCTGACTTCAGGTGAATGCCCTGAAGGAGATCAGATTTTTAAATAGGAAATCAGCACAAATAAGCTGAGTAATGAAGATTAGTCTCTGTTTACTGAATATATCTTTAACTAATTTGAAGTACATGTAGGCAAATCCAAAAATAAAATTCAAAACTAAATTGTGGGGTTGGTTGTGATGAGGTAAAGTGACAACTAATGAATTTTGGAGGATTTTGAGAGGTGGAGAAATATTCTAAATTTCAGAGGAATTAACTCAATACTGATGAGAAGGATACAGCAGACAGTAAAAAGCCTGGAGTATGAACAAGGAAGCAAGAGATTTTGGAGACTGATTAGATGTGGTAGATGAGGACAAAAAAGAAATCAAAATTTAGTTCAAACTTTTAAGCCTGAGGAACAGGCAGAATTATAATACTACTGCTAGAGAGGAGTCAAGAAGCTCAACCAAATGCGTAAGGAGGTTGGTTGTTTCTAGACAAGTTCAGATTCACATGTGAAATCTGAGGTGAACACTCTAGAAACTGACATGTCTAGGAGGCTGTTGAGATGCCAGACTACACACAGTTCAGCAGAGAAGAAAAAATACAGGTCTGGATACAGTGAATTAACTCCAGAGAAATGTTAATTAAAACCCTGAGTATGAACAGTGCATGAATAGAATCTTCCTAGCTGATCATTTTTTTCTTCTACAGAAATAGCATACTTTTTGAACACAAATTATTGGTTGCATTGTGTACAAAGTGTAATGATGAATGAATAGGTTTCAGGAAGTTCAAGTATTTTCTGGTAAGAGAATTCATCAAACATTAAAATTAAGAAGTGCATAGAAAGAATTTCCTTTTGATTGCCATTAAAAACTTCCCTTTTCCATAAAGTTTCTTCTTATCATAAATTGCATTTAACACACTATTATTCAACTGTCTTGACTAATATAATGGGCTATAGTTAAACAATAAAAGTTAAACCAGTCTACATCAGGCAGGCATATGATGAAGAACTGACACTTCTTTGTTCAAAGACAGTTTGTCTCAATATCGATGGAGGTACTGGTTAGTACAAAAGGACAAAGTATGTCCAGGGAGGAAAGCACATGAGAGAATCATATATTTACTGGATCTTTCCAAATGCACACGAGTGATTTTTATCAAAATCAGGTACTTGTCACCATTGTTGATGTGAAACCCTGAAAGTTCTTGTTCTTTAATAGCTGTATTTCTTAATCTGGTCATAGGCTATAAAGGAAATCCTCATATACATGATCATAACAAATAAGTGAAAACATTTCCTCAAATAGATCATCACCAAATGGAAAACAAGGACTGATTTGATGTGTCCAGTCCTATAATTTGTAGTTAAATGGCAAATAGTTAGAAAGGGATGGAAAAAGTGAATAAATTCATGGTAGCTGGTTAATTGTAGCACTGGAATAAGCAATTTGACAAGAATAGAGTAGGAATTCTGTTGCAAATGTATTAATTGCAGGTACAATAAGTATAGAAAATTACTTCATGAACATATTCATTAAAAGTATATTAGCAAAAAAAAATAGAAATCATGGTGAAATTCTTTATATAAAATATTTAGTAGAATTAGTGTTCTAATAATGAAACAAATTTATGTATTTTTAACAATTTCTTCATATACTTTTTTCAGTGTCTGCTTCTTTCTTTTTCTTTTGGTTTTAATTAGTCCTCCTTTTGATAGTCTTTGGATGAAACCTACAAGAGGAAGAGCAACAAATTTATGTATGATAAAGTAACAAAATAAAATGTTTTATCTATAATTTCCTCAAATTATATTTTAATGTTTAAAACCAAAAGATGAGATTGGTTTAAAAGCCTTTAATTTGTCTATGTCTTTGTGCAGAACAGCCTGTCTCTAAGGAAGTCACTTTGCATATATGAGTTAGCAAAAGTGGATTAGCATGTAGTTGATTTTTATTATTGGTTCATCTTCCATTAAAATTCATGCTTATTTTATTTAAAGTAGAAATATGGCTGTATATGGTTGGTGGAATTACAGATGATTTTTAATTACATTTCATACTTTTTGTATTCTACTGCAAATATGCATCATTTTTCTATTCAGAAAAAATATGTTCACATGATGTGCACTAAAGAAACCTTAAAGGTATTTTGGTATAATCTTTTAAAATTAATGCCTAGTATTTAAACATAAGAGTAATGTTTTTAATTTGTTTTAAATTGATTCCTTTTCGATGAAGACATGAAGAGGAATTACAGTTAATATATCCAGCAATATTATCTAAATGTAGTTGAAAAAAGGATATTTATTGGCTAAATCATCATACTTTGTTTCTGATATAAGAACTAATTTCATAATATTTTCATAGATTAAAATTCATTCACAATTTTAAAACAACACTATCTTAAACACTAGTGAATTAATGAGAAGAATATTTTCTATACCTTTTTTACATGTCCTAAGACATTCTTTTTTGGAAGTAAAATTGTTTTCATTTCCCCCACATCCACTGTATTTAAATGGGCGACATTTCCCAATTATTGAATTGTAGTAGAATCTGTTCTCATTGGCTTGACACAATCCTCTGTCTGCAGGGGTGAGACACCAGGAGGGGCCGCGAAATTCTAAAAACATCAAGGAAACATGGTAAGCCATATATAATAGTGAATCTGAGGCCTTCATATTATATATTGTTTAAACATTAGTCTTGTAACATGCCTATATAAAATAGTAATCTGAATAAGAGTAGAACTCAATAAAATTAATAATTTTTAACTCTAGGTAAATCTCTAAGTGTTCACTGTACCGAGATCTTTCCCCAATGAATAAAAAAAGACACATTTGCTAAAGGGAAGTGTTATGATTACTCTTTATATGAACAAACTAGTTGTACATAATAAAAACAACCACTATGTAACAATTTAACTTCTGAGAATTTAACTATATATATAAATAACCCATCAACATTTGTGTATCACTTGTTTTTGAATGTTTAAGTTGGGAAAAGAAAACGTCTTGATGAACAAAGTCCTTATTTGTGTTATGACACAAACACTGAAGCTGAGGAAGAGTTTCTTCTCTTGACTAAAAAACTTAAATGATATAGTTTAATCACAATGTAAAGTGCAGGAATTCAGGTACTTTATAGCAAGTTTTAACTTTAAGTTTCAGGGAAGGAGCCCAGAAGAGATATTTCATTTAGTAATAATGTTTTTCTCATGAATCAAATCATTAATTCTAGATGAGTTAGATGATTTTGCAAAGAAAACAATATTGCTAAAGCCAGTAAAATAAAACACCATTTTGGAGCAAACAGGCTGGTCTGTCAGTGGGACCAGCAGCTATCAAAGACAAGGAAACAAATAAAACTAGGGTAATAAAAGAAACATTCTATTTCCTTAAGGCAAAGGAGGGAATTAGTTTTAGCTTACTGGTAGTTTTTAGCTCCTTTGGGAATTCCTGTCAGTAAGGGGAAGCTGGTACTCTTCAGTAGCACAGCTAAAACTGCTATTTGTTAATAAATCAAGACTGCAGGTATGTTGTTGGGTGGTGAGGAAACAATGTAAGAAAACTTCAGTGGCTTTGCCAAATGGTGTGATGTGGAATAGCACATATAGATGAAGATTTGCTAAATGTTCAACATTGGCAGAAAATAGAACTTTGAGGAATCCACTGGCCAATAAGGCAAGTAGATTGTGCGGAAAGCAAGAAGGGGTCTTCTGGCAAGTGAACCCAGATGAATAGGCTGTAATAAGAAATACAAGGAAAATGAAACAAAAGGAAAAAAAATATTAAATTGATATCAACATTTTTACCACCTCTGCCTTCTAGATATTTAAAGATTAGAGTGTCTTGATAGCTCATGTACTAAAGAAACATTTCTGGGAAATATCAGTGAGGGAGTAGTGACTTCTATGGGAAGGATATATGAGAATAACTTTAGAAAGATGTTTTTCTGTGTCAAAATTCAAGAAGTGAAATCACACAAAAAGATAAAGTTTTATTTAGGTTTTTGACTAGGTATGTAAACACATTTTTTTTTTCCTTTTTGTCTTTTTTCATGACCAGCAACGGATCGCAACCCTCAGTGTCGCTCCCGCACCGGACTGGGACCGGCAACGGGATTGCAACCCTCAGTGTCTCGCCCGCACCTCGCTCAGCCGGTGAGCGGCCGGTCTGTATGTGAGATCCGAACCTTCGGTGGGAGCACCGCCGCACTCCTAAGCGGCGCACTGTAGCAGTGCGTCACCAGGCCGGCCCTGTAAACACATTTTAAAAGGAACTCCTAGGGACCATAAAACTAAAACATTGTTCAAAATCATGTAGTTTAATTTATGTTTTACCTTATCCTGTGTGGGGATTATAGTGCATGATCATGTGCCATTACAAATCAAAGTTAAAATGCATTTGGTGAGAATGTGTACTAAATTTTCTAGAAAATGTTGACATCTCCTTTCACTAAGAATGGTTTGTGAGAGTAATTTTCTACCAGTCGAAGAACAGAGATAGGTTGTAATTAACCCTTACTATTGTACAAACTTTTCCAGTGTGTATGATGTGGATTCTCATCATCCCATAGCTTGGAATATAAAATGGTTATCAAAAACCATAACCTTTATCTCATGAGCTTCCAAAGTCATCACCTATGTTCAGAAACAAAAGGCTGACCAGAAGCAGTTAGCCTGATTTGAGAAACAGGGAAAACAATAAATTGCCATTTTAATTTTTGCTCAGCAAGCACCCACAGATGCTTTATTAAAGATATGTTAGTATGATAAAATGATATGTGACTTATACATCAATTTCACTTTATCATTTTTTGTGCAAGAAGTTTCAACCCATGCTAAGTTGCAAATAACGTGAATGAACTTATGAAGCGTACCCTTCTTTACAAATGTTAGGGCATTGCTTTTAAGACATAATAACAATAGCTAACCTACGACATCTGGAGCTAGTTCCTAGACTGGAGGTACCAAGAGAAGAGCCTCTGTTCGAGACCAAGAGCCTGGAACACCAGGTGAAAACTAGAACTATGGGCCTCTCTAGTGGAGCTAAAACCATGAAGATTCCCACAGATGTAGTGGGAAACAAACCCTAGGTTCTGCGTGTCTGACTATCCAGTCCTTCAACAATATCTGCAACTGATCAAACCTATTCAGAAGCCAAAGAAGGAGGGTTGCCCATAAACAAACACAGGGCAGGGGGAAGACAGTGGATTGTTTGATATTAGACAGTTGACCGGCACAGATGCCATCAGAGTTTCACTACTGGTTAAATTATCCAAGGCTTCAGATTGCCTCTACACAGCACTTTGTGATTTCTGAATCAGAGGTGTCTAACAGGCTGAGGTCTGGTATGCTGATGCAAATTGGACTTGCTCCCTTCAGAGAGTGACAGTCCGTGACTGAATGTTGGCAGTTGTTGATCTTATTTCGTTTGCCCTGATTTCAATCATTGCTTACACATATCATCAAACACAGAGTAGCTTTGACCCATATTAAGTGAGATTCCTAACACTAGAAATAAGAATATTTTAATAGTGGGTAAACATTTAAAATTAACCACTGAGGATGTTATATATAATTAACTTTTAGGAATTTTTAAAGATGCAATAAATTATCATTAGCTGGGGAGTCTTTATAAGGCCATCACACTTCAGAACATGAATTGTATCTGTTATGTATACTAATCCATCTCTCCTAAGATCATTTTAACTATCATTGGGTTACTGTAAGTAAGACTATCATTGGGTTACTGTAGTGTAAAACCACAGTACAATTAAAGTAATAAAGTAAATGGTTTCTCAAGAACATTTTAGCTTCAATATTTTTTGAATCCCTTATTATTACCTAGTTAAATTTCTAAAGGTGAGGAAATTGAATTTTTTTGCACCCCATAAGGAGTTAATCTCAATTGTTTTCAATTAGCAAATTTATTCTAGATGTAGTTAGGCCCTCACCTATTTAAAATCTGGACTTTGATATCTACAATGAAAGAAAATATAAAAGTTTTGAAGTAATTAAACAATGTGTTTTTTTGGTCTGGATTATAATTACTCACAGAAATTTAAGATAGAAGAAAAAGACATTAACATGACTTTTGTTCATTTTCCAAAGGGAATTAATAATCACATGCATTCTGTCTTTATCCCACTATTAATAACAAGTTGGGTAACTTCCATCTGGAGGATTTTTGATAGACCTCAGAATTCAGGATCTGCTTATTTTTTATTTTTTTTAAATCAAGAGCTATCATGATCTAGCATGACTGCTAAATTGTAAGGTGGTACACCAAAGGCAGTTTTACATGTAAAGTGTTTTATGTAAACTTGCTTTTAAATTTATAAAGTAAACTTTGAAACTTATAACCACTTTGAATCTTTACTGTGGTGTCTTATTCCTCTCATTTTACATGCCTATTTAGGTTTTCATTTTATCAAACAAATTAGATTTTATAAACCACCTTATGACCAGTTTAGTAAGAATTTTTTTGCCTTCTGAGACACTTTTAGGGAATTAAATAATGAATCATTCCTTTCATTTTCCCCTCTATAATTTTGTAGTAGAGAGAAATATAAATTTTTTAAAAATTATTACAAATCATCTTTGTAAATCTTCGAAATAATACAAAAGTATAACAAATATAAAACAAAAGTTCTCCATAATTTGACCTCAGCTTTTTAACTGCTATCAATAATTTGGTAAATATATTTCCCCAAATTGTTCACATATGCAAGCATATACACTGATCTACATCTTATTATTATATTTGATAATACTTTGTGGATACATGTCCACATTCTTTCATATAGATATACCTCATTCTTTTTAACATATGTACAGTATTCTGTTTTATGAATTGACTGCAGTGTATTTAGTCAGTCCATTACTCATAAATATATAAGGTTATTTCAATTTATGTTTTTCAATTCCAGATAATGGCTCATGAACATTCTTGTACATTTTTTAGGTACTTCTAAAATTAGAAGATATTTCTTTTTTTTTTTTTCCTTTTTGTCTTTTTTCGTGACCGGCAACGGATTGCAACCCTCAGTGTCGCGCCCGTACCGGACCGGGACCGGCAACGGGATCGCAACCTTTGGCGTTGAACCCGCACCTCGCTCAGCCAGTGAGCGGCCGGTCTGTATGTGGGATCTGAATCCTCGGCGGGAGCGCCGCCATGCTCCCAAGCGGCGCACTGTAGCAGTGCACCACTGGGCTGGCCCCAGAAGATATTTCTAAAATTAGAATTGTGCAACATCTACATTCAATTTATGATTTGATAGATGTTGCTAAACTTTCCCATAAAAGTTTATACAAATTTATATGCCTACGATGGTGTTTTACAGTGCCTAAACATTATTTAAGAAAACATGGATTGGATCTCACATTATTTACTATTCATCACTTTTTCTGTCACCCCACACCAACAAAAGTAGAAGGGTACTATGTGGGACAAGTAACCGCATATTGCTCCTCAACTGTTCTGCTAACGTCATTTGTGTAGAATCTAAGACACCTTCTATTTTAAGATGCACCATTATATTATGTAGTACTTATAAAGAAAGAAAAAAACAATTACAGTATTATAGACTATCAGTTATAAGCTTCAGCGTGATTACAAC